TTTTTTTTTTTGCTGTATTATTTATTTATTTTGTCCCTTTTTGGTTGTATTAAATTAATTGTCATTCTTCATTTATTATTATTGTAGGATGTGTGTATCTTGTGTGAATTTCACCCCACTAGAAGCGTGAAAACCCAAATTTTTAATTGTATGATCGACATAGATTCATATGAATGTATGTGTTGTGAACTTTATGGGGAAAATAAAAGATGATTAAATAATTGTAAAATATTGGGGCCTGTGAAAACCTAATGTCTTTAATACATATTCGTATCGTATGACTGTTTGTTTTCCAGGATGCAAGGGTAAAACCGAATAAAATTCGACGAACTGAAATTATGTCTGACTTAAAATATTATAAAAGAAATTGGAAAAATACTTTAAGGAATCTTTTTTTTTTTTCTTTTTTTTGTTTACTTTTTGGTGTGTCTTTCTCCTCAAAGAAGACCACTCTATCTATAGGCCTAGCATTCTTACTCTACATTAATCAATTGTTTGCATGTAAGTAAGAATTAACAAAGTGGAGTCAAAAGTTATGGGTTTAACCTTATTTGAGAGAACACATCACTTGAATCAAGAAGCTTTCATATTGAATGATCGAGAACCAAAACTAATAGCGGAAGCGTACTTTAGAACCAACTCGACAGTTGGAGATAGGACAGCTAAATTATTGTGACGGCCGTCAAGTACTCAAGTACAATCTGGTGTAGCAGGTTCGGGGATGGGTGATCATAAATTACTGCAAGAATATTATCCATATGATCAGTCGACTATCACTGCCCATACTGTGATCATAAATAACTATTTCAACCACTGGAGAATGCCATGTCTGACAATTAGGTGTGTGTGAAATATAACATGATTAAAATGTCCAACTACTCAACTAACAACAGCTGATAAAATTAAATGCTCGATCGAGATCATCATGCTCTGAAAATGAAAACCATGTCCATGTGCAAGTGCAATTATAGGGAAATGTTAAGGTCCTCATTTCGTCGGAGTTTGTAACCATTAGATCATCATATAACGGTCGAGGATAGTTATCTAACGGTTACAATCCATGACGGAATGGTTCCGTAACGAGACCGTAACATCTCCAGCAATTATATTATAACTCTTTCATTAAGGCCAACTCTAACCGCAGCTTTTGATAAGGTTTTTATACCCTATGCTCAGAGTGTTACGAGTTTTTAAAAGCAACATTGTTAACTTTTGGTAGGCTCCTTTCGATACACACAACAAATTGCATGAGACAATATATACACGGGCCATGTTATTTTTTTTTATCATTTCTTAATTTATATTATCTAATTAGATCACGTTTGAGTGATTTTTCAGTTTATACGCCTTAACTGGTTTTTAATATTAAAGTAAATTAAAATTAAATATTATTAAGAACAAGCAAAATAGTATGTTAATTGGCATGTAATTTTCTATATTTTATATTATTGTAAAGTTAATGTGTTCTCAATTTCTCTTATTATTATTACTTTTCTAATTTCAATATACGTGGGTGATAGGTAATAACATACATATTTTCAACTTTCCATACCACCTTTTTTCTGCAACTAAATAACCCTGTCAAAATCGAACAACAATCATGTTTTTTTCAGCTACTACAGCTCTTCAGAACCCACAAACAATTCCGACCAAGGTTACGATTTATTCGCAAATGTTTCTATCCGTCACCAATCAACTTGATATACTACAATTACTATAAAACGCAGTTCGTTTGTTCTTCGTCTCATCTTTTTTTCTCCTATTAATGTGCCACAAAATATACATTTTTAGCGTCAATGAACTCCCTAAGAGAAAACCCAGTTGAATACACAATAATTATGCAAAATATACAGGCAACAAATGCACACGCCAACACTGACATCGAAAGACCATAAACAACACCAAAAGTAAAGCCCCGAGTAGTTGGTGAGAAAATTGCAACCCTTTTCAAACGTGTTTAACGCACAAAAACACACCAAGAGATCAACTCTGAAGTTCAAACATTTTTAACACACACACACACACACACACAAACACGGCAAGAGATTAAAGGGGCCGTTAAACGAACATTAATTGCCTGTGACGAGAAATGGATGCTGGCAGACCCCACACTCTATGGTCTCTGAACCAGAACTCGGCACTTGAACCTATGTCAATTACCAGCAGCGAAAATGATCAAAATACAGACCGTGACATATACAAATATATCCACTCAAAGCAGATTTTTTTTGTTAATCATGGTTAATTTTGAAAAAAAAATATATGGTTAGTTGTTAGTGAGATTTTGAGTTTATATTAAAACAATATATAAAATAAAGTAATTAAAGTGGATTTGATGTAGAAGTAAGAAAGAAATGATGTGAAATAATGGTTAGTTAAAATTACGTTAGTGGATAAATAGTAAATTAAAGTTGATGTGATAAGTGAGAATGATTGATCGATATTATTTAACTGATAATATTGAGAACAGTGAAGTTGAATTAAAGTTGAGTTAAATTTTGAGTATGGATTGAGATAGATTGAGTTTTTTAATAAACAAACACACCCTAAGCAATTTACTATAAGTTCGTGACGAGTAAGTATTTGAACCTGCAAATGGACTGTACATGTTGGGCAGGCAACCTCTTTCATCCGCCTTCCAGAACTGTCTGACTTGGAGCCTGTCGGAAATTTAGAAAAATAAAATACAAAATAAAATGAAAAATCGAATTTTGATGCCAATATCTGGTAGACATAAAGCCCAACTCATGCACAATCGTCTGACATTATGATTTATGACCCAACATCTTTAGGTAGTGAACCAATTTGATTTACCACCTCAATCAACTGTGTTGGAAACTAAAGAATGGTTACCACAAGAATAATAAATAATGAAGAAGCGAGTGAAATAAGGAATCCACGACACAATAAATTATTATTGTTATTGCTAAAAATATATATTTGTAATATAGTGTTGCAGTCTTACGAATCCAATCATATACACCAGTGAATTCGAGAAAAAGTAGGTGAACTTTGTGGCCTTTTAAATCATTGACACTTCTCTAGAAGCGTCCTCAACATATACCAACTTTGCATCAGGAAACAAAAATCAGAACGGTAAGATAACTGCTGTTATCAATTTTCAGACCAGTGTTAACTTTTCCTAAGTGCTTTTACCCCATCCATTCTTCCAAAAATGTGAAATAATCAAAACCACAAGGTTGCATTTGGAGAAGGACTTGAAAGGAAAGTACCACGAAATAAATTCATATTCATACAAAAAGAACATGAAAACTACCGGAATGACTAAAAAATAACTCAAAATATTCACAGAATCATGAAATTACGTACACGAGCTCAATCGATTTCTTTATATTGGATTTGAAGTCCACAAAGACACCAAAAACTCGCGTATGAAGCAAGAAAGATAGAGCATTAGGGCCAAAAGGTGGAGCAAAAAGAATGAGTAGAGGAATTCCTAGAAGTGCCACCAAAAACCAAAACAAACTAAGCTATGCAACTAACAATAAAGCAAAAGATTAATGGGCGAACAAGAAACATTTTTTTGCAGCTAAATGCACAGATAGTAGCCAATCAGCTGACAGCACTTCCATTTTACATGATTCAGCGAGAAATATTTGAAGTTTACCTGATACCTTGCAGCTTCTCTCCAGCTCCTCCTGATAATATTTAAAAATAAAAATAAAAAATCATGTGAGAACATTATATAATATTCAAGAAGTGAAAATAGTCTAGCACTAAATTCCTAAGAAACAAATGCACATTCCAGTATTGCTGCCAACAGAAATTTCCCAAATCAACACTTCAGCCAACGCAATAGATATAATTACATCAGTAGTGTTCCAGAAGGAAAGAATAAGGCTACAGTCTAGCTGAGCAACAATTAACACAAAATAACACCTAAAATGGGTATTTATAGAAATATCTACACTAGTAAGGCCAAAAAATTACTACATTGTCCAAAAAAAAAAAAAAAAAGAAATCAATTACATGCAGTCCTCTATTTATCTCTTAAAGGTATCTCACCTGAAGTTTCTTGGCAAGATCGTCATGGCTTTGAACGACAGTAGGTCTGTTGGCAGCTTCCTTGATTTTACTAAGCCTGCGAGAAACTTCGGCCTACAGAAAATGTAAATTTCTTAAAATTAGTTTACAGATCACATTTACAGAGTCACCAAAGGTAACCATAACAAATACGACAAATATACATTTATCATTTTTTTTCCCCCAAAACCAAGATCAATCTCCTTGCAGTTTCTTCTTATTTCCAACTCTCTTTTAACATCACGGAAAGTAACAATGAAATCATTTTAAGCTACAGTAACTGGGAGGATGATATATAATGGGAAAAAAACCACAGACAACCCATACCATGCATCGATCACAAACTCTAACAACGGGAGCATTCTCATCAGCTGTAAGAGCAGTTCTACCGTGCGTGCACTTGTCACAAAATATATCCCCACAGTTCCTGCAGTGATGCTGAAAACAGATGCCATCATGAAAAAATCATATTTTATGATATGAAACGCCAACGTATGAAACCATGCCAAATTTGTATGCGTAAAACACAGCTAAAGGCAAGAAATTCATTCCAAGCTAAGGAAGCAGAAAAGAAAAAATTAATAAGACATACCCTCCGCACAAAAGCACCAAAGTCTGTCCCACAAGCTGTGCACTTTGTTACTGCTTCATCAGGGACCTGTACAAGTTGTTCCAATCCCACGTTAGATATTAGAAAAATATTGATTATAAAACTTCTGCATATTCACCATGACATAACAATCATAGTTTGAAATCACAATAAATATAACTTGCAAGAACTTCAAAATTTACCCAGTGATCTTTCTCCTCGTTGACAGGCTTTATCAAGTTCATGAAATCAGCAAAACCTTTCTTCTTCTCTTGAGGTTGTTCAGCAATCTTGGGATATTCAGAAGGACGGCTTCTCTCACTCATCTCCTTATACTGCAGTTTGTAAAATTTAAATCATATTAAACAATTTCATCTCAAATTTATTATACATATCGCCACATGATATGCATGGGTTTATAGTCATAAGGATGGAGAAGGAAAATAAGTGTCGAACTACTTGCTGCCACATTCACCAACTGCGAAATTTTCAACACACACGCAAAAGGAAAAGGAAAAGAAAAAATACACAAGCCCGCTTTTATAAGATTAAACACTTCTAACCTGTATGATTGCAGCAGTAACTGTATCCAAAATGGTGTTGGTGGTATAACTATTGGACTGCAATCTAATACGCCTTGGTTCAATATCCACAGAACTTTTTGACCAAAACGCAAATGTTGATGAATCAAAAGCCTAAACAAGGAAAGCAAATGGAAACTAAGCACAGCCTGAACCAGAGTGCCAGAAGAACAAGATAAGGAAAAGCTACATAAAATCTTATATTATAAACACATAGAGAGAAGCAATTCATCTCTGGCAGTGCGCACTCAATAACTCTAGCACAAGCAAGACCATCTAGTCCAATCTAAATTTTCATATACCAAAATCAGCAGTCATAATCTAATTATTTTGTCAATGTATCTTCCACCATGACTTTATTTACATTTAACTAAAATCCACTTCACTATATCAGGGATAAAATTTGACAAATGTGGTGGACGAAAAGTCATTTCCATCACGCATTAAGAATTAAGCTTCTGGCGAGAAGAGCTTACTGTTCATTGCCGTAGCAATAAAGACCTAATGCAGTCCTTCATAACACAAACCCAACAACTTAGTAGAGAAGATAAAAAGAGCAAGTTATCATACTTCACATCTGGTTATTGAGTCGAGAAGATAAATCCTTAATATACGACTGGTACTTGGGTCCAGCATACGAATTCCATCCAAGCCAATCTGACAGAAAAAAAGTATATAAAGTTAATGCTCATTTGATGCCTCACCTAATGATAACAAGCAAGGTAAATTATATACTAATTGCACATTCTAGTGAAACACCACAAAGCAGCACTAGACTGGTATGGATAGGAGATAAGTTAATTAATTTTAAGGAAATAAAAAATATTACTCTAATACATAATAATGTAAAAGTAGTTGATTTTTCATTGTTGGGCTGCAAAGTAAATAGTCTAAATATATTATCAAGTCGATGGATTCAGTATGATCCATCATCATCATCATCATCATCATCAACATACCCAGTATATTCCCAAACAGGTTGGGGTCTGGGGGGTCAGTTGTACGCAGACCTTACCCTTGTAATTATACAAGGAGGCTGTTTCCATAGCGACCCAAGGTGCGTTGCGTCGTTTGATATATTTTTTCTAGAAACTTCACTAATAGAAGAAGCACTAGAATTTAATTGAACCATTTTGATCAACTAATATTCGACAAGAATATACTTCATTGAACACACGGTACTTCCAATCTAACAATATTTAAGTGGAAACATGTTAACATGCTGAATCTAATTGAACCATAGTTTCAAATTATTAAAACCAAAAGCAGCGTTTGATAAGAATTTTACAAATACTTGAACTATGTAACAGGATAACAAGTGTAATCTAATTGAATCGAAACTAGAAATACAGAGTCCTCTACTTTGGTCATCAAACGAATTAGTAAGAGCCCTGTTACCGATAT